CTCTTGTCTAATCGAATAATGGAATTTGACCCTCACTCTTATAGTGCAAACACTGACGTCAATAAAGTGCAGAGTACGTTTTTGCGGCAACGGGTCTCAAACCACGAACTCTCGGATTCACAATTAGGGCATGCTAAACACTGAGCCCGTCAAAATAAAAGGTAAAAACTCGTATTCAAAACAAATAGAAATTTTCTACAAATTGTTTATAACCGAGGATGTAAAAAGTCTTTAATAAATGAAATATTACCTTTGATAGAGTTTGAATGTTTCACGTTTTGACCCCCAGGTTTCGATACCAGTGGTAGGCACAGCAAAGATAGCCCATCGTGTGAATGTTTCACGCTTGGACCCCAGGTTTCGATACCAGTGGTAGGCACAGCAAAGATAGCCCATTGTGTAGCTTTGTGCTTAACTACAAACAAAACAAAAGTTTTATGTTTTACGAGAAAAATGATAAAACAAAATTAAATTCTGTTAACTCTGGTTTTTGATTTGCGCACCTGTTTTGAAAACATTAATTACACTTATGTAATAATAGTTAGAACTAAAAATGTGTTATTGTGGGTTTTAAACCGCTAATTTTCTATCGATACTAAAAACGTGATTAGTACGAAAAAGATGAACTTTGAACTGAGCCTAAGTTGATTAAATCAATGTTACCCGTATTATCCGTTACAAAGCAGTAACTTTACGAGCTTACAACGCTAAAATACTGGGTCTGATTCCCCGCGGTGAACACAGCAGATAGCCCAAAAGGGCTTTGCTTTAAAAAAAACAAAACAAAAAAAAAAAACAGGCAACACTATCCGTTACGTATTTTTTTTAATGTTTCACCGTTTGGCAGCCTAGTATACATCAGAACAGAATTACATTAATGAAAACTGTATTTTTTAGCCCAGGGAATAAACAATAGAATATATGCAGTTAATGTATTTAAGGCTGCTTCGCCCACATTATCCTACTCAGGTTTTTTTTTTTTGTGAGATGGCCCGAGTTCGTTGGTCACTTGATTGGCACGTTAAATATCTCGTGTAAATAACCATATGAGAAAATGTCATACTTTATAGGCCTTTAGCATTTTTCCGTCTTTTCAAAATTTCAAACTCACCTAACTTTAGTTAATTTATAAAATTGCTGGATGAAAGTTTCATCATTTCTAAGTTTCTAAATTGTGTGATTAGCCAATGGTGAAGTGTCGCGTGCGTACACACTTCTTGTATGTTCGGTTCTTCATTCAAAAGATTTTCTAGTTTTCATGCATTTTTCTCGAATTAACCCACACCCATGTTTATCAACGTTAAAACAGTGTCATCTTTAGGCTTAGCTATTCACGCGTCAGAAAAATCTGTTTCTATGAGATTAAATTGATGCGGGTGTGGTCACAAAAATAGAACTCCGTAGTGATGACGATAATTATACGTCAAAAACAAATCGTGGAAGCAAGGTGGGGATATTAAATACTTCACAACACAGTAGCTGTGTAAGATGTCTGGTTTCTCAATACCAATCAGAATTGGCCTGTATAGAACTTTATTTTTGAATATTGAATTTATTTTATTTATTTTTTATCGCAAGAATGTTGTATCGACTTTTTATAGAGACACATAACATTCTAGTTGATAATCACTGGTTCTAGGCATTATTCTTTACAAAATCTCGATTAAACAAATGTCCTTAGATATGTAATGTAGTTCCTAAGAGTTCAGATGTGATCAGCTTTTAAACTGAGCATTGAAGGGTTAAATAAAAATGAAATAATAAAAAAAACACTTGATTTTCATGCCCCAGAATGCGGTTTATCCATGTCGTCGCCGCCTGTCCATTAGTGTAGGGGCGAGGCACGCGACCTGAACAATACTAACAATGCTTTCCTTTCGTGAATAGAACGAGACGACAATGAAGACTACTTAGTTTTCAAAACTTGCATGAGTTTGGTTCCAAGGTTAAAAGCTTAAAGCGCAAGAATATAATCTGAAGCTCGCTTTTTTTCTACTGAAGTTTGAAAAAAAAATCGTCCAACAACAATTGTGCGCTCTGCTTGTCCGCATGTCAAATATTCTATTGAAACACAACGCCGACGCTTTTAACCCTCTCTTGTCCCACTGTGGCGTACAGTAGACGTACGTGGGTTGAACGTGTACAATGAATCACCCCCAGAGACTGAAAGAATAGGCTAATCAATTGCGATCTAGTACAAAGACAGCTGAACTAGGCTTTGTGAATTGTCCATCACCAGTTGAAAGGTGTTATTTAATCAATTGAAAACTCTCAGATTATTGCTGGTGGACACTGCAAATGCTCGAGTTTCAAAACAGTTTTTAATTAAACAGAGAACCCAAATTTAATGACTAATCTAGTGATGAAAACTGATAAATGTACTTTTATATATATATTAGCTTCTCACGGCTCCTTTTATCTTCCCAGTTAACACTCAATATTGATAGTATAGAGATGACGAAAGCGAGCCATTTTCTTGCATGTAGGATATCAACTCGGTGCCTCTTTAAATCTAAATAAACGTATTTCATTTTCCTGGATGTATAACATTATTTCGACTGTCAAAACGTGCCATTTAAGGCCTATCGCCTTCTTGTCGCTGTTTTCTCCTTGTAGCATTAATTTTTGTTTTGCAAGGAAATTGTCTGTAATTTATAACTAGGAAGTTTACGCTGAAGCGACGGATTCACGTGTCTCTCTCCTCCATCACGTACCACGTGATGTGATCGGAGTTCGTAGTAGCTGCAGGAGAAACTTAACCTCTGACATATCAGTTCCGTTCCAATCTCCGGTTGTGCAGCTAACCGGAGAAATTACAATGAATGTCATCTCAAATATCCTCAATTCTTTTTTTTTTCCGTCAGTTTTCGTGGATCTGTTGTCTTTCTTTAGATGACTTCGTGTGGGGTTTTTATTTGTCAGTGAGCGCGAGCTCTCAGGAAAAGAAGCTCGTGTTTGTCTGACCTATCACTGCTTTTAACTGAAGTTAGTTCTTGCTGTAATACTACACTTTTACCGAAGAAGGACCAGAAAAATACGAGCGAAATTTAACCTGTACATCGAAAACGTGCAGACTTCCGTTAGGATAAAGCATAGTTTATCACTGATGCTGATATAGCCAGAAGTCTTCATAATTAGCGCTTTACGTTCGAGCAAACAGCCTCAGGAAGGTGTCGTTATCAAGGCCGTTATTAAACTACACGGATCGCGTGGATGCTTAATGACACTGTTAAGTACATCGTTAAACTGAGACTGGTAAAAATTGTTTGTACACAGGGATAACAAATTATTACTCTCGCATTACTAGTGTAAGGAGCAGCAAAACGAGCGTTTGTACGATTATAACAGGTTATAAACTAGTTCATTAAGTTTCCAATTCACACAGTTATAACAACTTATTTCTAATCAACTTATGACGTCTACAGATATATAGAAATATGACTACATGTTTTTAAATAACTCAATACGCCTCCGGATTTGTACAGTTATATCAATATGTTTATTAAATAAGACATTATGTTGGGCTTAATATATATTTTAACACTACATTCTTAGTTTAGTTCCTTAAAACAATGTAGTATTAGATATTTAATAGGCCTAACATAATGTCCAATGATAAATATAATTAATTATAATAATGTTTCGCTAGCTTGTAAAAGACGTTCAAACCGTAACGATTCATTAATTAAGGCCACGATTTTATTATACATATTATATATTAATACTAGAGGTCACCACTAAACAAAAATAAACCGCTGGTTAAGTCTACAGGCAAACAAGGCCTAGGAGACAAACAAAGCAATACGTAAGTGTTGTTATAACGTAGGGAAGTCACTAGATCGTTTTATAACAGAATGAAGTTCTTCAAAATTGTCTGCAATTTCCTATAATACGTAGGTCAATTACGATTTGTATTGGTTTTGTACAAATGTTACAATTTACGATAATAAGGGTTTGGTTTTTAGTTTTATTACAGTTTTTCTTCTTTTCTTTTATCACGTACTTCAGATATTGACTGTTTTATCAAACACTGACGAGCAAACCAAATACTCATTCTAGAAGTGTATTAAGTGTTAAAACACCGACGTAGTTTTTGGTACTCTTTGAAACACAGACGTAAATAAAAAATCTTGCAGCGTAGAACATCTTCGCTGGCGGAGCATGCCACACGTATTACCTCTCTCTGTCAATCAAGGCGTTAACGTGTTCGTCGCCGTAAGGCCTAATGTGCTCCGCCGACTAATGCCCTTTGTTCTCGTTTTTTATATTAGAATGTGATGGTCTATGCCATATAAGACGTTATACACCATAAGACGTAACCTAAACGATTAATATGAATATTGTTTCTACGGAGACTACTATGTTGTACAATTGTTCTAGTCAAACCTGTAATACCTGAGCCCACGGCCTCTCAAAAAATGTACTATAATTATTCAGAAAATAAAAATAACTCAAATTCATATTCCCTTAACAATTTCAATTTTTTATCCTACAATAATCACATTGTAGCCATTAGCGACTTTTACCGTTTTTAAGAAAGAGTTTTTTTATGAATAATTCATTAAGTTATCTTTGACTTTACTACAAACTTTATGCTCTTTGAAAATTGTGCAAATCATTGATTTTTGTCGCCCTAGGACTGGTCAGTGGTAAGTTATGTATACTAATTTAGTTCAAGGCGCTCGCATGTTCATCAAAATCAATGATAGTTTAACTGTAGAATAAAAATACGAAATAAGTCATGTTGCATTACAGCGTAATGGAAAACGGGGACTAGTGCAACTATATTTTAGTGAAGAAAAACAGTATTAAATTTTCTGACATAATTAATAATACAAATAATATGTTTGTTTCAGAATAAAGCCACATTAAGCTATCTGCTGTGTCTACTGCTGGGAATCGAACCCCGGATTGGAGGGTTGTAAATCCGTAGACATACCGCTGTCCCACCGGGGGACCGCTGTACAGTCCTAAAGGGTAAATACTTAATACGTATTGTAAAGTTATAAATATGTACATATATGATCCTTGCCCAGATTCCCGAGATTTTTAATGTGGCCCTTTCTGTAATAGGTCAGTAAATGATTATGTTATCTTTCTTGTTGTGGTGTAGTATCACACATATTACAAAGAAAATAAGACAAATTTTGATTAATTATATAATCTAAAGAAAATGTTAACACTTCGTATTAGAAGTTGAGAATTCACGGAACTTAACATACAATGCGAAGAGACACTTTGATAACTTTCCCGAGTTGCTAGCACAGACCAAACCTTTGATAACACACAGTGAACATCCAATTTGAATTTTTTACATTTTATTTGGATCTTATGCAGCATTGGTGGACAAACCAAAAGAGTCTGGAACTTCTTGTGCTTCAGTAGACCTTTGTTTGCTCCAGGAAACACAGGATTATTCTGTAATTCTAATGCAGTGGCATGACTGCGCGGCTGACAACACGTGCCGAAACACTCACGTCACCTTTGGCGGCTCGCGAGATCGGTCGGTGCGAATATTATCAGTATGCTAATCCCTCCTGACGCCCGTGTTTGAGATGCAACAGAAGAAGACTGCCTTCAATAATTCGGAGCGACTTCTATTAGCTAGGCCGTTATGATACTCAACTTGTGCGTCCCCAGTGTAAATCGTCATCGGAATCATAGAGCTAGCACTGTCTAGCATTTGAATGACTCACGTGCAGGTATGATTCACTAGATATAAGCTATGGAGATGGGGCTTAGGATTCTGTCATAGGATAGCGGGGTTAATCCGGTATATCAATCTATTAAACACGGACAGAATTCGTTTTCAGAAGTACCACGAGTGTGTGTGTATAAACCAATAATCATTTAAACCTATAACTACGAATCCACAGTTCAAATCTTCCACCACATCCGTTATACGTAAACAACTCTCCCAGTGACAGGTTTATTTTGAGATACACGATAAGAAACGAAAGAGGTGTGTGTTTTAGTATTTCATTACTTGTATAAAATTTTGGAAAGTTTGAGGGAGGAATAACCCTTTTTTTTTTTCATGGTGGTACAATATTACAAACTTTTAGGGCACTGAAAGAGTTGATTACATTTGCCAAAGAAAACTGTCACAGCGAACTTTCTGGATTCTTCCATTAGACGAGCCAAGCCTGCAATTTAGGCTGAAAACCTAAAAACTAATTGAACAAGACGTTTTCTGTTTGTTTAAAAAAATCCAGTCTAAAAGTAAATCTAATGTTGACAACAAAAAAAAAACTAATTTGACGCTCTTCACTTTCGACTGCCTAATATACTGACTCGTGTTATTTTATCTTGTTTGTTTCTTGTTAAGCACAAAGATACAGAATAGTTTATCTGTGCTGTGTCCACCACGTGTATCGAAACCCAGTTTTTAGTGTTGCAAGCCTTCAGACTTACCGCTGAATCACTGTTTTTTTTTTGTCTTAGTTATTCATAGAGTTTATTGTTATTTTACTAGGGTGCGCTCTGGTTCAATCCCTTCAACTAAAATATATTTTAGACTAGCTGGAGTACCCGTTCCCTGGGCGGAAGTTATGTAAATTAATGATTAATGAAAAGTTATCTTAGAACATTAAAAGTTGCTTCCCTTATATGCAATTGTAAAAAAATGTAAAACTGAAAATTTGTATGTATCTCCCCATGGACCCAACAAAACTTTATGCCCAACTTGGGCGAAGTAGTGGTAAAAAACGCAAGAATGCCCATAAAAACCGCAAAATGCAAAGCTAAAGGTTTGTATGTACCTCTGTACGGATCCAATGAACCTTCATAGCAATTTTGGTGAAGATTCATCTACACCCTGCGAAGTAGTTACATGGACAGACAACAAACAGTACTATTATATTTATGCTAGCGAAAGTACCCGGCTTCGCTCGGGTTATTAGGTTCATATACTCTAGATGTCTATGTCAGTATGTGTATTTTGAACCCATTTTAGCATAAAAGTATTACCTATATACTTTTGTTGCAAAGTAATATGGCATAAAAGCCATTGTTACCAAAACGTACTGGCTTTTCTATATATATTAGAAGTTATTATATAAGGAATAATTTTTTCTATGTGGCTTTTTTTGCTAGCTTCTCTCATTAAAAAGATGCACGTGCGTGTCTGTCTCTCTGTGATTTGTATTTATAAAATATGGAACCACGTGGATAAGTAATACCCAGGTGCACGACTTCAGGGTCCACTTAATATGGGTGCAAAATTTGATAAGATTAAGTAATACCCAAGTGCACTCCCTCAGGGTTCACTTAGTATGGGTGCAAAATTTCAGGTTTCTAGGTTCTTTTTTCTTGGAGCTACGGTGGTCATACTTCTTTTCTATGCGTTTTTTTCGCTATATTGTTTCATAAAAAGATGCGCATGCGCGCACCCAGGTGTATAAGTAATAATATCCAGTTGCACCCCTTAGGGTCTACTTAGTATGGGTGTAAAATTTCGAGTTTCTAAGTTCTTTCATCTTGGAGATATGGTGGTCACACACATCTGACACGTAAGGGCCCAAGTCAGTGTCTGTTTGTCTGTCTGTGATTTATATTTGTAATATAAGGAACCAAGGAATCACTTCTTTTCTATGATGTTTTAAGCTAGCTTGCCTTATTAAAAAAATGCGTGCGCACGTGAATAATATCAGTAGTACCCAGGTGCACACCCTCAGTATATGTGTGTAAAATTTCAGGTGTCTAAGTTCTTTCCCTTTGGAGATATGGTGGTCACACGTCTTTTCTATGTGGTTTTTCGCTAGCTTGCATCATTAAAAAGATGCACATGTGCGCACGCTCATGGATAAGTAATAATACTCAGGTGCACACCCTCAGGGTCCACTTAGTATCTGTGCAAAAATTCAGGTTCCTAGGTTCTTTCCTCTTGTAGATACGGCGGTCACACACACACAGGCACGCCTTTTTATTATTATATAGATAGATCTGTTTTCTTTTTCACTAACTTATAAACGATTTCTTCAGCGGGATTGGGGCTTGTTAAATGTTTGAATTGAAAAATTGAATTTGATTCAATATTAAATTTCCTCTCTTGAAATGGAAGCTACATGTATGTAGATTCATTAATTTACTTGTCCGCATTTATTGACGTATTTCTTGGTTCAATATTTTCTTTGTCCTCTTCACATGATGCATCTTTAAGACAGATTTCTGTGTATTTGTAAAACTAAAATAAAGTTTGGTTTAACATTTCTTTTATATTCTTGTTACATTTAGATTCCATTTGATCAGAGTGCACCCAATATCATTTCTTCATTGTTCATATTTAGTGGAATATAACAAAGTTCGTTCTTTTTTTTTATTATTTACTGATATATTTCACAGTTCAATATTTTCTCCATTCCATCTAAATGATGTTTCCTGGAGAATATTTTTTTCTACATCTACGTCATTTGGATCAATATTTCATTTGTTAACTTATATTTTGCAATATTTAGGTCTTGCTTTATCCGACCTTCTTATCTGCTGTAATGCAGTTTTTTTTTATCGAATTTGGTTACTGCAGGGTTGACACAGTGGTAGAGCTTTGAATTTCGGAACTAGCGAGCCGGGCTCGAACCAGTGTCATCCACCATCAAATTTCCCTCACTTTAAGCTGTGGATGTGTTATAAGAATTACAGTTAATTCCTTAACGCAGGTGGTAGGATTCTGCTGATTGGATGTTTTTCCCATGGTCAGTAGTTTAGAATTAAGAGTTGTGGCGTTAAATTAATTAAGTTTGCCATAATTACGAAATACAATGCACAGCTGTTGTACTTCCTGTTGCCTTTGTTTGCAGCATTGAATTTTAATTCATTTATTTATTTGTGTCGTTTATTTATTCCTTTTATGTTCTTGTTCTTTTATATATGTAAGAAGTACTTCGTTTATTTTATATAAAAGGTCGTGCCAAAGTAACGAATAATAATTATTACTAGCAGAGACCCGCAAAACATTTCCGGCCAAATTAGTATCTTTATCGTAACAGTACTTCTTTAAATATAACATTTATTGCACAATACAAACGAATTGTAATCGTAGACAACGAAATGTGTAAATCCACTTGTATATAGGCCGTACTTTGCGTCTTAGTTTGTTTTACAGCAGTTCTCTCGTTTACTGCTTTGCGTCTTAGTTTGTTTTACAGCAGTTCTCTCGTTTACTGCTTTGCGTCTTAGTTTGTTTTACAGCAGTTCTCTCGTTAACTGCTTTGCGTCTTAGTTTGTTTTACAGTAGTTCTCTCGTTTACTGCTTTGCGTCTTAGTTTGTTTTACAGTAGTTCTCTCGTTTACTGCTTTGCGTCTTAGTTTGTTTGACAGCAGTTCTCTCGTTTACTGCTTTGCGTCTTAGTTTGTTTTACAGCAGTTCTCTCGTTTACTGCTTTGTGTCTTAGTTTGTTTTACAGCAGTTATCTCGTTTACTGCTTTGCGTTTTAGTTTGTGTTACAGCGATTTCCTAGTTTACTGGTTTGTGTCTTAGTTTGTTTTACAGCAGTTATTTCGTTTACTTCTTTATGTCTTAGATTGTTTTACATCGGTTATTTCGTTTATTTCTTTGTCTTTTTTTTTTTGTACAGCGGTTCTCTCGTTTACTGTTTTGTATTATAGTTTTACTACATGGCTTTTCTTGCTGTATCGTACATTTTTTGTTCCACACAGGATATGTTTGTTGTTTAAGACTCATAAGTAAATTAATTCTGTAGAATTATACATGGACTTTTCTCTGCCTTAAAATACTTTTATTTGCGAGCTTTCGGCCCTCTTACGGGAGCCTTCATCGGGCAACAATGTACTGAGCGTTAAAGAATCGTTTAACTGTGGAACACTGCTTTAAAATAGGTATCTAGGCAACAGTCGTAACAATAACTCACATCTGGTATTAAAAATATTAAACATATATAATTATGGTGAATATAAAATATAAATGCTGCGATTTAATAAACATAAAGAAAAATACAATTACAGGTATTATATAGAGAAATAAAAATAAAGGAATTTTTTATACTACAATTAAAGCTTTAATATTACATCGAAACCACAGCAAATAATATGTTTTATGTCTTTTATTAGTGGTATCCATCCAATATTGAGTAGTTGTTGGCCGTTGTTTTGATAAATACCCACTGGTGTTCCACTGTTTTGTGCTCGGATGGCAATAGCTTCCTTGATTTTTCTACGTTTGGTGTTTTCTTCTCTGTCTACTATTTAGGTAATTTTAAATCTATTATATGATCGTTTTCCTTAACATGAAAAGCTTACCTGTAACGGATGTTGTGTTTCCCCAATGTATTGCTTGTTACACTCACGCCTAGTGCTATATACCACGTTCTTGGGGGAGAGACTGGGAAGTAGGGATTTTACTTTCGTAAGACTGTCGGTAGTGTAGGAGGATTTAAAAAAAAAATACGGTGAGGTTAAGTTTATTCATTATCCTACGAAGTTCTTCTCCTAGGCCTAATATGTAAGAAAGAGATACCCTTTTCCTTTCGTTGTGATTTTCAGGTTGTGATTCATTAGTAGTTGAGACAGATGAACCATATAACACACGTTGAAACGTTTTATTTCGATAACCGTTATTCCTGAAAATCTTCTCAAGATGTTTAAGTTCTTCATCCTGGGAAAACGAGGAGCATATACTTGTAGTTCTAGATTTTACTGTTTTGATAATCCTAGTTTTGACAGATATTGTATGACATGAGTGAAA